AGACCATCTATCTTACCCTTTTTAAGATAGATGCCGGTGTCACAATCACAAGAACCCAATTTCAACATACATGGCTAACATTTACAAAGGTATTATAATCAGATTCACTTCACAGGCAATAAGTGCTCATCACTACTCTAACAAGCCAATAACAAAACCCAATCTCCGCTCTCCCCAATGGCCATTTGGGGGCAGGAGATAACTTCACGCCTTAACACAAGTATCTAACTCGAGGATTATCGGCGTGATTATGTGGTGCCCTTAACCCAATCAAGACCCGGCACTCATCAAACACATGGCAAAGAGTCTAATGATGAGTCCAACTAAAAGATGGAACCCTATCCGAGACGGATAAGCATCACTCAGATATATAGAATCATGAAAGGATGAATGCATGTATATGCATGTATGAATGAATGCCTTTATGCATGCATGTATGAATGCCCATGTGTGCATGTATGTATGCGTGTGTATGCTCATGTATGTCTATATTTGCATTCATGTATGAATGCCCAATAAATACTTAAACAAACAGACCTAATGTGAAAGGCCTTATACATCCTGCCACAACCAAAACCAAGCATACTATCACAAGGGACCAAGCTTCAAACAAGGTCCTATATACATTCAACCACCTCCCAGGGTTAATCAATAACGCGTTATTGGATGGCTAGGCAAGAATCTAAGCGGATAGAGGAAAGAACCATTCCTCTAGAACTAACTCTGGAGCACTAAATACTGTGATGATAACCCATTTAAGCATAGTCCATGGCAGCACAATATTTTTACAATCACGTCAACCAAGGATATTAAGACATAATATCAGCATTAGGCTATCTATCCATAACCAAAATAGGAATATCTCTAAACATATCCCTAGAAGTCGTCACCCCTCCTAAAGAGGTGTCCACATGAACTTAAAACAAAAATTAACAGGTACATTGGTATACCGAGATAGCAACTAGCATAAAATTCAGAACTTGAGCAAGAGCAGGTGTCAAAGCAAAAATATTTTCAAAGACGGTTCAGAATGGATTCCACTACCAAATATCAAGCAATTTTCTACGTTAGCATATGTCAAGCTAACTTCAAGAACTCCGCCAAGCATAATTTATATTCGGATATCGACACTCAAGAAACAAAAACAAGTGCAGAATCCAAAACTTGAGTAATAACAGATTTCCAGATAATTTTTCAAGAATAGAAGCAAGTTTAGACAAAGATATTTGGTATGCTACTTAGCAGGAAAAATTTCACCCATGTGTGAAATACTATCTTCTTTCCTGCAAGAGCATTTGAATATGTACAGAAATTAAGTGGCATCCACCACAGCCTAGACATTGGCATGACATAGGCACGTATAATATATAGACTCAAATTGCATAAGGATTTCAATCAAAACATGAAAATTCTTGATTGATCATTGTCGCTTCACATCTAAGTTCATTACATGGGCAAACCAAGTTATCCACTCAAAAATCATCAAATATCAAACGGATATATTGAACCAAAATCATAAGATTGAAACAAGAGAAATGAACCAAATTAATTACCGTTACGAATACAAAATAACTCGTTTTAAGTCTGGAACTGGAGCTTACAAGCAGATTCACACACACTGAAATCATCAACAGCTCCAAACACAAATTCCAGATTTATCACTGTCAGCTCAATTCATTATCCAAACAAAATTTTTCCAGAACTAACTCAAATCACTGAGATTTACTATTAAAATCATCCCTTGTATAACCCATCACTCGTCTCACCACGGTTCTAAAATCCATTGGCTAGTCAAGTTCAAAACAAATCCTAGGTATTTACTTAAACCTAGGCTCTCACATCACGAAATCTTAATCAAACCTAAGCTCTGATACCACTTAATCTGTCACGCCCCAGAACCCAAATCCGAGGCGCGACAGACGCCGTGCACTCGTGAGACGGGTCCCACAAATGCACAAGGCTCAGAACTTACTGAACAAAATCAGTTTTGATACCATAAAATTTCCAATTAAAATCTAACTTACAGGAGCGTGGTGTACATGTATCTAAAATCTATGTCA